TGCAAAGCCTACATGTGTCCCTACATGCAGTTCATTGACGGAGGTCGCAGGTTCCACTGTGTCTTCTGCAAGGCCACCACAGATGGTGAGTATCATTGGTGCTTCCCCTGAATCCCCACTGCTATACGTATGTGTGTCTTACAGTACCTGTGGAGTACTTCTGCCACCTCGACCACAACGGAATGAGGTCCGACATGTTTACCAGGCCTGAACTCTGTCTCGGATCCTACGAGTTTGTGGCCACTCGCCAGTATTGCAAGGTACGCTGCTTCTTTTTGTTGATCTTTCTTTTAATAATATCAAAACAGTGGAGTCTCATTATAAAAGCAACTTTAATTATATCATCCTATTTCCAAATTCTCCTGAGGAGAGTGACAGAGTCACTGAAACATCGGGGAGAGGAAGACTGTTGAGATGCAACTGTATCTTTTCCAAAAAGATTTCAAACCAACCAATAATGTTCAACACCTAAATCTAAGGTCCTAATTTTTTAAACTAGGCTGGTAATAACAACATTCTATATACAGTTACGAGCGTCATTCCTCATCTCCTAATCAACTCTGTCACCGTTTGCTTTTTATTTGGAATGGCGCCCTCCTATTGGTTGACTACGATCACGCCACCTTTGCCCCCCCCCCCATCATGCCTCTCCCACTCGCTTTTTGGTTTTTGTAACTATTGTGTTGGAGCGGGTTGCTCCTTAAATAAATGCATATATTAGATAATAACTAAATGGAATCCTCTCTTTCTTTTTCCCAGTATGAGACGCCTACGGAAGCCAACAGTACATAGACAGATAAAGCACATAGGCTATAGTTATTAACTAATATATGCATTTATTTAAGGCGCCAATTTATAATTGTAACAAATAGTATTTGAATAAAAACATTCAATCGGGTAAAACACGGGCGTTGCCCGGGTCATTCGGCTAGTGGTGTTATAGATACAAGAAAATAAGACCTAATCCAAATAATTTAATAGTGTGTGACGTTTGAGCAAAATGTCACGCGCTATTGAATTATTTGGAATAGGTCTTATTTTCTTGTATCTATAATCCAAATTGTGCTTTATCTACATGGTGTTACAAACACAAGGTAATATGACCAAATCCAAAGAAATATTTAGTGTGTGACATTTTGTTAACAGCGTTGTTACCATCTTCAGACAAAAGTACTGAATGAGAAATTTTACCACAGCATGTTTTAAATAGTTACTGTTATCAAGTATATAAACAAGATAGCAGATAGAAGAAGATAGTTTTCGAAGAACCCTAAAATATTCTTAAAATTAGAAGTTGAAAAAAACCCCAACTTTTTTCAGATAAAATTAAAAGCATATCTGTAAATATCATTGATATTTTCTTTTTCTTCCATTCTGTTAATTGTAGCACATTTCTTTTGAATGAAAAAAAGCTTCTTTAAATTGTCTCTTAAAGTAATTTTTCTTATAATCTTTGTTTCTTTTAGATTGGAATTATTATGCCCTGTGATTTTTCTATGTTCTACAAGTGCAGAATTCTCAATTTTATCCCATTTTAGAGCATATTCATGGTTTTTCTCTTAAATTTCTGAATGTTTGTCCTACATAGCATTGGTCACATTTTTCACATTCTACTTCATAAATTAAACCTGCTCTTTTTTGGTAATTGACTGTTCTTATGGTTATAGATATATTGAGAAATAAGTTTTACATGGTTTCCCAGTACTATAGGAATTGGTTAGTTCAATGGTTTCTGTAAACAGAGCTGCTATATTTAGTGGTACCAAGGTTTTGGCTTCCTTCTTTCTTATTTCCATTCAATCATATTAGAGTATCAAGCTTGTTGATGGTGTCTGCTGAGGATGAGTCTTCTTCTTCTTCTTTCTTATCTACACTCAATCATATTAGAGTATCAAGTTGTGAAACTTGATGGTGTCTGTTTGACAACCATCATGACTGGGTGAAGTAGAATGTGTCTGCCTTTGTCATTAAGACTGGGAGCACTACTCAGTGGCAGGCTGACTTAGCTCCAAAAGAAATGGCCGCCTCTGACATGAGGAACAGACACCATGTGCAGCCGCTCCTAACATGGAGTACAAACGCTGCTCATCCTGTATCCCTGGAGCCCTTACAGGGTACTATCATCCGGGCCAGCTGAACCCAGGTTTTTCAGCGAGCTTGTTACTGCTCCCCCTCCTCCTTTTTAATCCTGAGGATGAGTAGAGCTCATCAATGGATGAGTGAATATACAGTCAATAATATGTTCCATGGTTTTGTTGTTAACTTAGTCTGGTCAACAGCCAATGAATGCTGGGTGTGTGTGTGACAGAATGAGGAACTTCCCAACCCCCCAGCCTACATCTTCATGATTGACGTATCCTACAACAGCATGAGGAACGGAATGGTTAAACTTCTCTGCGCCAACCTCAAGTCTCTCCTGCGCAGAATCCCCAGGTAAGAGACAGTATCCTCCTCTTCTCTATTTTGAACTCCAGGGGGTTGAGGAGATCAACAACATCTAGGACACAAGACTTAGTGTTGAGAATATATAATTGTATTTATAATTGTACACAGTAGAACTTACCTCCCTGTAAAGGACACCTAATTGCAGAAATTTTGCAGATCTATTTTTAAAAGAGAGAGAGAGAGCTAGTGTGGGGTGTCTCTTTCAATTAATCAAGAGTTTTGGAAGGATTATAATTTCAGGAAACTTATCCGTGGTTTGACCACCATATTGGCTGTTAGCAAGTTTCTATATTCTTGGTAGAGATGGATTGTATAAGCAGACACAATACCTGGGGCCGCACACCTGCACTCCACATCTGGCCTTTCATCTCTTCCCTTTCTGTACATTAAACTAAATACCTCACTTTATAAGGCACAATTTGGATTATAGATTATAAACACAAGGTAATAAGACCAAATCCAAATAAATAGTGTATGATGCTTTGGTAACAGCGTTGTTACCATCTTCAGTACATTCAGTAATTTTGTCTGAAGATGGTAACAATGCTGTTACCAAAACGTCACACACTATTTATTTGGTTTGGGTCTTATTACCTTGTGTTTTAAATACCTCATCAACTTTCTAATTTACTTGTTACCTAATAATGATTGAGGAGATGTATTTATATGGTTTGCTGGAGAGAAAAATGTAAAGGATCAGGTAATAAAATTAGGGAGAGAAATGCATCAATTTTTTTTTATTATTATCTTTAATACAGGCCATGATAATCATGGTGGGTAGAAGTTGGCGTCTGCTTTTACTGTAAGTGCACCACATGTCTACACATGTGAAAAGCAGTTCGACTGTTGATGAGTTAGACATGATCAGATGCCAAAGAAAACTAAATCAGTGAAAAAGTAAATGGTTCTCTCTTAAGTTAGGTGTGATCTTCTAAATCAGCTTTTAATTTGAGTCAAAAGGCGATCCATTAATTAAGATTATATAAAAAGGCGTACCTGGATCTGTAAAGAAAAAAAAAACTTTTTCTCTCAAAATATTTCGAGAGATTGCAACCTCTTTATCTAATTTATTGCACAGTGATTACTTTGTTGTAAAACAACAGTTATATGTAATTCTACTGTCCTAAAAGCTTATGTCCATAGTTTTTTTAAAAATACTAATCACTAAGATTCCATCCTTCAGTGTAGCATATATAAGCAGAATCATCCAATACATGTCTTGCCACAGAAAAATAAACTTACTTTTAAAGAAATAGAAACAGTAGCCAAAACAAAAATAAACAAGAACTGGAGGATCCCACCTAAGCACAGTTAGTACAGTGGAGTGAACCCAGGAGGAGCTCTAAACATCAGAAATAGACAGCATCAAACAACACTAACAAGATTTAGAACAGGCCATCTCAAGCCATTGAAGATAGAAAATAATAACAAAATCTACCCCACTTGCCCAAAATGTAGCTTGTCACCTGCAGCTCCAGAACACATTTTGGCTTGCATTAGATGCACTAAACAGGACCTTTGGGAGAGGCCGCTGCTCATCATAAAACAGCTCGAGGAGCATGAACTCATGGAATTCGTGTAATCTTTACACAAGGGGATAAGAAACAACAACAACAACAACATCATCCAATACAGTATTAGATCTCTAAGAAGAGTTCTGGTAGATTAAATTGGTACAACCGCTGAGAGGGTTCACCACTGATGAGCCAAGCTCTCCCAATATTTTTTCCATTGCAGTAAGGAAGTAGTAGAAGTTTGTTTTATGTGTAAAATAAACATACATAGCTTTAATGTTTTCAATTCTTATCTACAAAGGGATGTTGTTTCCAGGCCCACGGATGAGAACAGCCCCAGGCTGAAAGTTGGATTTGTTACCTACAGCAATGTGGTCCATTTCTACAACATCAGCGTGAGTTTGTCCTTCTTTCTACCTCCTTGTTGCTCTTGTGTTTACATGCTAGCTGGACTCTCATATAAAAATATTTTATTTATTTATTTATCCCTAGTGGGGGTCGGTGGAAGGCTGGTTAAACTGTTTAGTTTTCGACCACTACGACCCGGGTTCGAATCCCGCATTGGACACTTTTTTCTGTTTAAAAAAAAAAATTTTTTTTAAATGCTCCAATGGCCCCCCTGATTCCTGTAAAAGTCCAACCCCACCAGCGAGTGCAAGTAACCAAACGGGGCTCTGGCACATTTGTAAGTGCAAAGTCGAACTGCTTTTCACATGTGTAGACATGTGGTGCGCTTACAGTAAAAGCAGTCGCTAACTACCCACCATGATTATCATGGCCTGTACCACCGTGTACTAGGGATAAGTAAAAAAAAAATTATCCCTAGTACACACACACTTGGTACAGGCCATGATAATCATGTTGTTGTTTCTTATCCCCTTGTGTAAAGATTACACGAATTCCATGAGTTCATGCTCCTCGAGATGATAATCATGGTGGGGGGGTAATAATGAATATGATAAAATAGGGAACGTTATTGGAAGACATCTAAGGCTATTTCTGTATATTGGAATTAAAGTTTTTTTTTTACCTAAAAAAAATTGTCAAAAGTGAGATTCGAACACTCACCCACATCAGTGGACCAGAACACCCAACTCCTGCTATAGGATGAAATTTACTCTTGAGTCTGGCGCCTTAGACCACTCGGCCATCCTGACAATAGTAAATAAAACTACTTCTATTCTTCTTCTTTCTTATCTCAAAGCCATGATAATCATGGTGGGTAGTTAGCGACTGCTTTTACTGTAAGCGCACCACATGTCTACACATGTGAAAAGCAGTTCGACTTTGCACTTACAAATGTGCTAGAGCCCCGTTTGGTTACTTGCACTCGCTGGTGGGGTTGGACTTTTGGAAGAATCGGGGAGCCATTGGAGTATATATATATTTTTTTAAACAGAAAAAAGTATCCAATACGGGTCGTAGTGGTCGAAAACCAAACGGTTTAACCAGCCTTCCACCGACCCCCTAAACTACTAATGTATAAAAGGTTGAAGTCCATCATTTATAACTTCGAAACAAACTTGCACAAAATGGCATTTTTCCCCTACTTCTGTAAGTTGAAAATAATCTTGAGAGTATTTAATTGTCATCACCTGGGATGAAATTCTACAATTGCCAAATGGAAGATGATAAGAAGATTGGGGTTGACTTCTCTTGCCTCATCAGAATGGTAGATTGTGAAATGTATGGGAGGGTTTCACCACCGATGAGCCAGGCCTCCCTAAGTTTCATCTTTTATTTTGTAATAATTGTACAACTTTTTTTTTTCACTTTATATAATTTAAAAAGATGACATGATTAAAAACACAAGGTAATAATCCAAATCCAAATAAATAAATAGTGTGTGACATTTCGGTAACATCGTTGTTACCATCTTCAGACAAAAGTATAAGACATTTTGTCTGAAGATGGTAACAACGCTATTACCGAAACGTCGCACACTATTTATTTATTTGTATTTGGTCTTATTACCTTGTGTTTATAATCTATAATCCAAATTGTGCCTTATCATGACATGATTAAATTTGCAAAAAAGAAGGTGTTTTTCTGCCAAAATATTTTACTTAATAGTCAAAGTTTCACAAGGTAATAAGACCAAATCCAAATAAATAAATAGTGTTTAACGTAATACTATTTATTTATTTGGATTTGGTCTTATTACCTTGTGTTTATAATCTATAATCCAAATTGTGAATTATCAGTCAAAGTTTCAGTTTATTATTATGAGAGAATTGCAGGTGTTAATAATTATAAATCTTCACAAGGCAATAAGAAGACCAAATATAAATAAATAAATAGAAAGATTTGGTCTTATTACCTTTGTGTTTATAATCTATAATTCAAATTGTGCCTTATTAATTATAAATTTTTGTAAAAAATTAAACCTAGTAATAACTCTTTGCCTCATGATTTTATACTTTGAAATATTTTTCTTCTCTCAAGGTGATTATCAAACTTGCAATATCAATCTTGTTATATTAGTGTATTCTCTGAGAATGTAGCTCAGTATCAAATATTCCAATGTGCTTTGTAAGTGCAAAGTCAAAACCATTGGTTTCGACCGCTCTGACCCGGGTTTGATTCCCGCTATAGGCACTTTTTTCTGTTTTTAAAAAAAATGCTCCAAATGGCCCCCGATTCTTGCAAAAGACAACCCCACCAGCAAGTGCAAGTAACCAAACGGGGCTCTGGTACATTTGTAAGTGCAAAGTCGAACTGCTTTTCACATGTGTAGACATGTGGTGCACTTACAGTAAAAGCAGTCGCCAACTTCTACCCACAATGATTATCATGGCCTGTACCACGTGTACTAGGGATAAGCAAAAAAAACTCTTTGCCTCACGATTTTTATACTTTAAAAAATTTCCTGCTCCAGGCGATTATCAAACTTGCGATATCAAACTTATTACATTAGTGTACTCTCGGAGAATGTAGCTCAGTATCAAATATTCCAACGTGCTTTGTAAGTGCAAAGTCAAACTGCTTTTCACATGTGTAGACATGTGGTTCACTTACAGTAAAAGCAGTCTTCTACTTCTACTCACCATGGTTATCTGTACCACGTGTACTAGGGATAAGCAAAAAAGAAAAAAACACAATAACTCTGGAAGATATTTGATACATAGTGACCTTCATTGAAGATACACGAGATAACCATGTGTGAACAAAATTACTAATGTCACCTTTAAAAAAAACCAGAGTGGTTGCAGGGAGGAGCCCAGCCCAAGCTGCTGACAGTACCAGATGTGGCAGACATGTTCATGCCTCTTCTGACAGGCTTCCTGGTGTCTTTGGATGAGGCGGAGTCTGCCCTGGACAGGTAGGACAGCTGCGGAGACAACAGACAGGCTGTAGGTGTTGACTGTCTGTCCAATGTCCAGTCTGCTGGAGCTTATCCCCACCATCTTCGGAGAGACCAAGGAGACTGAGACCATTCTGGGACCTGTCATCCAGGCTGGCTATGAGGCCCTCAAAGTAAGTCCCTCTCTTGGTTCTTTTGTATTTCTGCCAGCCTTCTCACATTGACTGGTCTTTCTCCATCTTATTTAAGAGTCTAAACCTACCCGTTATACATTAGAGGCCTTGCCGCTCCAGAACCTCTTTTGGCTTGCAATAAATGCACTAAAAAGGACCTTTGGGAGTGGCTACTGCTAATCAAACAGCTCGAAGAGCATGGAATTTGTGTAATCTTTGCACTAAGGGATAAGTAACTACAACAGAGGCTTTGTCATTGTTGAGAAATCACCTTTTGCAAACTAGTTGGGTTCTTGTCTGGCTAGGATTACATTGACCTCAATTTGTACTGATTTGTTATCATGCATCATTCCCATTTTGTCAGTTTTTTTTTCTAAGCGCTGGAAACTGTGTTGCACACCTCTGAAGACTTAGCCATCTATAAAAAACCTTCTTTTTAGATACCATTGGGGTTCCTGCCTTCTTGTATGGCTATCCATTTATGAGACTAAAGTGGAAGATGTAGTGTAAAACAGCTTGTAGGACAAGAAGAGACTACCATAAACACAAGGTAATAAGACCAAATCCAAATAAATAAATAGTGTGTGACGTTTCTGTAACAACACTGTTTTTTTATTTATTTGGATTTGGTCTTATTACCTTGTGCTTATAGTCTATAATCCTAATTGTGCCTTATCAATAGACTACCATGTTTTATCCATGGTGTAATAAAGTCTCATAGGACTCAGTCAGAAATGATTGCTGTGTTACAGGCTGCCAACTGCGCTGGCAAGCTGTTCATCTTCCACTCCTCCCTGCCCATCGCAGAGGCCCCAGGCAAGCTGAAGAACAGGGATGACCGCAAGCTGCTGGGAACTGACAAGGAGAAGGTACTTGGATGTGTGTGGAGATTGTAAGAAAGAATTGTCGGCTAATATGGAATACAGGACCTTTGGGAGAGGCCGCTGCTTATCATAAAACAGCTTGAGGAGTATGAACTCATGGAATTCGTGTAATCTTTACACAAGGGACAAAAGGTAATAAGACCAAATCCAAATAAATAAATAGTGTGTGACGTTTCGGTAACAGCATTGTTACCATCTTCAGACAAAAGTACTGAATGAGAAATTTTATCACAGCTTTTATCATTCAGTACTTTTGTCTGAAGATGGTAACAACGCTGTTACCAAAATGTCATACACTATTTATTTATTTGGATTTGGTCTTATTACCTTGTGTTTATAATCTATAATCCAAATTGTGCCTTATCAACTTTACACAAGGGGATTAGAAACAACAATAATATGGAATATATAATTCCAAATCATCTCCTTTGTCAAATTAAGACAACCAACCTATATACCATAGTTTCAGACTATGACCCTAATCAATATAGGGGCAGCTCTGATTTTGTATTGTCCTGGGGGATATATGAAATCAGCTGAAACTGCCAAAAAAAAGTGTTTAAAAAAGGGATAGGTACCTTTTTTTCTTCTTTATAAATATTCTTCTTCTCCCCCCACACATTCATACACTAGCAGTCTTTATATGATATCAAATTAGCTGGCACTTTTTGATTCTATTTTGATGAAAGCTGTGCCTTTGTTTATTTGGGTAAACTTACCTCAACTTCGGACACATAATGAGAGCAAAGAGTTTCCAAACCATCTGCTCTCATTATATGTCCTAAGTAGGTCAGACTTTGTTGACCTATTTGAGATTCTTGGGATAGAATAGGATAAATTTCACTAAAGAATCTGTCCATGGCACAAACTTGGTCCCTTTATTCTTCCAGGTGTATCCAACCCTCCAATATGGTCTATAGAGGATGGTACTTGGAGTACAAGCCCTGCAATTTACTTTTTGTGTACTTGATTTAGAGAAGGCTCTATAGTTATTATCCAAACTTCTTTGTTTCTCACTTCCCCATATCTGTCCACATTTGATCTTGAAAATTCCTAGTTATCCCGGTTGGAGTGAGGTGTGTGTACTTTACACAGATTTCTGGAGATGATCAAAAGTTTCTAAAAGTGATAGTAAAAGAGCATTAATAGGAATTATAAGTGGACATTGCCTATTCAGAATCAATCCTCAGAGCATATCTTAGGTTTGTGAGGATTTTATCTTGATATATGAAGTAATGTAAAGATTTATCCATTGGTGAAATATATCCCAGGTATAAAAGGAAAATACCCAAATGCAATATTACAGCAGTATGGTAGATTAAACTGGTGAAACTGCTGGGAGGGTTCACTACTGATGAGCCAGGCCCTCCCATTATTTTTATCGTTGCAGTTAAGGGGGCAGTAGAAAATTTAGCGGACACATTTCCACAAAGGACAGTTTTCATTTGCAAAATTACCATTTTTTGCAATTTAGCAACTCTCTGGTAGGAGGATATTTCTCCCTAAAGGACACTTTGGCTCTATAATGAGGTGTCAGGGAGGTACTGTATATCCCAGAGGAGTGAGACAACTGTTGATGTGACAGAGCCTACTGATCCCTCAGTCCTCTTTCTACACCCAGCTGGGCCAGCAGTGTGTGGGGGTCGGCTGCTGTGTGGACCTCTTCCTCTTCCCCAGCGCCTACATGGACGTAGCCACCCTGGGCCAGGTGTGCAAGCTCACTGGTGGCCACGTCTACAAGTACCAGTATTTCCAGGTAACTCCTTGTAACCTTGTTTCTTTGTCCATAGGTATCG